ATCTGAACGGTTCCCGTTACAATTAGCACTAGTTCTTCTTCTTATTATTATTTTTCTTCCTGGGAAAATTTTGTCCGCGAGTGATCTTGTAAATTACGCATCCGACTTAGGTGAAACCTTTTTAGGGTAAGTAGGCATGTTATGTAGATTTGCGGAATCAAGGTCATTTTGCGCGCACGTGCTTGCAAGAGCGCGCACGTGCAAAACTTAAAATGACCAATATATAATGGATATAACCGTAACTTTTCTATTTTGTGACAAAATGTTTTGAAACTTATAATGTAAGGATATATTAGTAGTATGCACAAGATGACATGGTCAAAATAGCAAGATCTCACGCGCATGCACGTGCGCTTCGCTCTGATTGGCTGAAACTAAAGTCTCAATATCTTTCTTGTATTTTGACGAAATCCTTTGAAATTTTGAATATAGCCATGCATTAGGATATCCTACAACATGATATATAGCAATTATCATGAAAACACGTGCATGCACGTGCGCTGCAATCTGATTGGCTAAAACTTTAAATAGCTATAACTCCCTTGGTTTTCAACCAAACAGGATAGGATTTGGAACTTAGATATATATAATGGACGTCTTCAAGAAAGTATGGTCACCATGCACATGCATACACGTGCGTGTACGTGCGCTGCAATCTGATTGGCTGAAACTTTAAACAGCTATAACTCCCTTGGTTTTCAACCAAACAGGATGGGATTTGGAACATAGATATATAAAATGGACTTCTACAAGAAGGTATGGTCACCATGCACACGCATACAGTTGCGTGTACGTGAGCTGCAATCTGATTGGCTTAAACTTTAAACAGTTATAACTCCCTTGGTATTCAACCAAACAGGATGGGATTTGGAACATAGATATATAAAATGGACTTCTACAAGAAGGTATGGTTACCATGCACATGCATACATGTGCGTGTACATGCGCTGCAATCTGATTTGCTGAAACTTTAAACAGTTTTAACTCCCTTGGTTTTCAACCAAACGGGATGGGATTTAGAACATAGATAGATTTAATGAACTTCTACAAGAAGGTATGGTCACCATGCTCATGTATGCACGTGCGTGCACGTGAAATGGGTAAAATGAAAAATACACTTGAATGAACGAATTTTTGAAATACTTTTGGATTAAATACTTTAATATTTAGTATATCAAAATATATAGATTGTTTTGATAAGATGATATGGTCATTACGCACATGCATTCACCTGCGCACATATGCAATGATTATATTTGAATGAGCATGGTACATTTCTGGGTAAACGTTGTTAAAGTCTCAAATGCATAGAGTTAGTGTTATTTAATGAAGCTTACAGGGAATATGGCACCAAAAGGGAGTTGGGGAGCGTTTGGGGAACATCTGTAACGGTCCCCGTTACAATTAGCACTAGTTTTACATTGGGATTTTGATCTCCGTTTAAAGAAAAGTTAAACTTCGTTGTCACTGGACATGTAACACTTTCTGTTTAATCTAAACTTGGACAAAGGTTTTAATCTTTGTCTACCAAAACAAATTTAACATTAAGTTTAAAAATCTGAATTTTTCCTGCAATCATATCTATTGAATGTTTAAAGTCATTTTAACTTAACAACTGATTTACCTTTATAGCTGTTTGCTATGAAGTCTGTGCTCATGGATTTTGCAGTAGTCCAAATCATTGTTCATGTTACCAAGGTTACACAGGAAGACAATGCGAAAATCGTGAGTGTTGTATTCATGCGTATATCCCCGTTGAAATTTAAGTTAGGGAATGTACATGTTTAAAAGAAGGTGGAAACGGTTTAAACAACAGTTATTAATATGTGGTTAAAATACGATAGAAAATTGAATCTAAGAAAATAAATGAAAGTTATTACACCCGACGTTGACTGTCTGCAAAGTAAAGGAATGAGTGTAGAACAAAGCGAGATAAGGAAATATCCAATATGTTTAAAGAGAAAATAGTTTAAGATAAAAAGTCTAAGTATCATCAACTTTTGATTCTTCCAATCCCATGTTTTAACATCTCTGTAGCTGTTTGTCAACCTTCCTGCCAACACGATGGACAATGTGTGAGCCCCAACACGTGTCATTGTACGAACGGATATACTGGCGTTAACTGCAATCAACGTAAGTGACGATTGAATTTGTAATTTGTAAAAGATGGCTAGTGTAAAACAATTATTTATTTGAATTATATGATTTCGAAGTTAATGAATCTTCGTAATTTAGCAATCTGCAAACCAACCTGTAGAAATGGGGGACTTGTACTCCGGGGAGAAAGTGTGTTTGTACTTCTGAATACAGTGGAACATCATGCACCATTCGTGAGTATTCAAATTTTGCAATATGCAGACGTTACGAATGATGTTGGTTACGTTTGGCATTACTCTTTTATTGCGCAATGGAAGAATTGACGTAATGCTTCTTCAATGTCATAGTATTACTAGCTTGACTGGTACCCTATCACTATGCCCTTGTACTTAAATTATGAGTATAAAAAAAAATGTGTTTGTGAAACACTGATGCCACATAACAGCAACGTATAGGGTTAAAGTTTGTTAATATATGTAAGCCAAACTCCAATGTCAAGATCAAAATTGTTTGTATCATAAGGAGAACCATCACAAAGATTATACCTTTGAAATATGAAAGCCCTATAGTACTAACAGTTCAAAACATACGGCCAAAGTGAAGTTTTTTTTATATGGGTCAAATCCTTCGGTCACAGTCAAAAGGTCAAGATATGTACACCTGTCACAATGAATACACATGTGAAGCCTTAGTATTAACTCAAAAGTTATGGCCAAGGATAAAGGTTTTTTTCTTCAAAGTTGGTCAAAGGTTTAAAAAAAAATTATACCCATTAAAAGTCTTGTCACAATGAATATACGTGAACTGTTCAAAACGAATGTTCAAAATATGAGCAGCGTCTCCATATGAGTGAAAAATTCTCGAGAGGGACGTTAAAACATACAATCGATTAATCAATCAATCGAAATATGAGCAAGGTAAAACTTTGAAAATTATTCATTTGGTAAAAGTGGGTCAAACGTAAAGGTCAAGGCAAGGAGATCAAATTTGATGGCACCCTAAAATCAATAGAAATATGAGAATCATAGCCCAATCAACTCAAAAGATATGGGAAAGGTAACAGCTTTTCATGTCAGTTAATACAGACAATTAAACAGACGGACTGGGCAAAAACTATACACCTCCGAACATTCGATTATGGGGGCATAAAAATTTTGCATTCGATTTGTATCTGATAAACTTTGTTAATTACTCAAAGCACTCTTAAATGCATTTTCGTGCATTACGATGAAGCAAAACAAATTACGTCAAGATCAACGGACAAATAATTAAGTTGAACCATTTTTAATGTTACGTAAAATATGAGTAAACTTATCCTTCTGACATTTAAGCTGACTGTTTGATTTGCATATTATGAGCATACTTCCATTCATATTTCAAATAGATAAATCCAAGTGGAATTGAAATGAAACACTACAGGGTCTGCCACATCTGTTTTATATTTGGATGTGTACTTCTTTGAGCACTGAATCCAAACTTTGAAATTTCTGGGGCCCATATCTAATACACTGATGAAAGATTTGTACTTTTTGCTTGTTTAATTAGATGTACAACTGTTCACAGTTTACATGTGTTTTATTAGTAAACTCATCTTTAAAGAATAGAGTGTTTGTCTTGTTTCAGCGGTCTGCAACCCGCCATGTAAGAATAATGGCACGTGTGTTGCTCCAAATCAGTGCATATGTGATGGAACATACACAGGAAATAATTGCGAAACACGTAAGTACATGTATATCAGCATTTTGATTGCCCAGTTACTATTTAATTGTTTATTTATTTCTATAAAGCCCAGTTACCAATTAATTGATAATTAATTAAATTAATAATTTAATTAGGGGGGGGGGGCAGGGTTGAGAGAAATGGCCAGGGGAGATCAAAATTTTACAAGGGCATTAAGAAAGATTCTTTAAAAAACTCTTGAAGAACAGCAAACCCATTTGTTAAATCGACATGGAAGCATTCTCGGGTACATATAGCATAAAACTGAAGCACCCCTTTCCAAAACTTTTCAATACTGGACTGATTTGTGCCGTTTCCTAGTCAATGTGTTAAGGTGAGCGATGTGTCTCACGGGCTTCTTGTTTGAAATCAGTATGTAGGCCTAATGATTCACATCAAAATATATATTTATGTGTAGTTATCATATCTAGCAAAGTTACCTGACAAAGTTCAGACTTATTTTCACTTAAATTTTTTTTATTTAGTTCTTGAATTTTAGTAAAGTACGACAAACTGTGAAAAAAAATCTTAAGTTTATTATATAATTATGAATTACAGCTCTATGTTCCTACCACACTCCTTGCTTCCCCGGTAAATGTGTTGATAACATTCACTGTCAGTGCGAGGATGGATTCAGTGGCCAATATGGATTAGATCTCTGCAAAATAAGTAAGGAATAGCCTTATCACATGGAACTGGAGCATGCATAAATATCATTGAATCATTATTAGCTTCAAAAGTTAATAATTATTTGTCTTAATATTTTAGTGTCAGCTTCTCTACACCCAACTATTGCACAGTGTACCTCGTTCCTTGCTAAAATTGAACGCACGGGACAGAAAAGGGAACTCTACAAATACATGTCAGATTCATCAGAACCGAACTCAACAAGGATTGACACCAGATGGGTGAACGAGAAAGATTATAACTTTGTTAATGTACAATTCTCCAACATTTAATGATCATCTGAGTGGATTTAAGAATCCGGACTATGTTGAAGATTTTAAGTTTGGTGTAGTCTCCGGAAAGATCCAATTGGATTTAACCAAAATTGATAGAAATGGCAAGATTAAACTTTTTAGATTTAATATAATAAGAATCCTTGTATTATGTACTTGTTTAAAGGAATTCCTTTTAAAAGAACATTCAAATTTATCCATTAAATGTCAAGGAAATAGCTAGCAATAGTTAGACATTTAATTTCATATAATTATTTTTATTAATTAAAAAAATATATATTTTTTCCAAGATGTGAAATTCAATGAGTTGATATTTTTCGCTTAAAATATTTTTTCTGTAGGTGTAAAGTACAATGCATTTGATATACACGTATATAAATTATTGATCATTTCAAGAATTGTCTCCTAGATCCTTCTAAGCCATTGCGTAAGTATCAACAAGACCGTGCTTGACTGCCCGGAAAACACGCAGGCTCTTTGGCTCCAAATGATAGCATATACTGGTGCAATTTTACCGACCTAATTTTGAGAGTTTTGAACATGGAGACAAGTAATCACTTTTAAATTTTTTTTTTACTTTTTAAGTTCCTGTGATACAAGAGTTTAAATTATGTAGTTAAAGAGTTTTAATATATGTTTGGATACCTCTGTACCTACATGTAAAAGTTTTCTTCAAAATCTGTATTTTTGTTTTCATGCTGCGCAATCTCACCGCAGCTGTTTTTTGCCGATCTGCGATCAAATTAATTCAACCCCGTTGTTGAGATGAAATATTTCATATATAAATAATGACGAAAATAA